TATATATATGTATATATATATATATATATATATATATATACTATTACTTTTATTGAATAAGAAATTCAAATCATTTTTTAGTTTAAAATGTTTATTTCTTTGCAAAAATTGCTACAGAGAATTTTTATATACAATCTACAAATTTTGTTATTTTTAATTTAATATTAAAAAAATATGTTTTATATATATTTGTATATATTTTAAATATTTATATGTATATCTATCTTAATTTATTTTTGGTAGTTTAAATGAATTGGCAGGAAAACCACAAACACCTAAACCTTTAATAGCAAATAAATAACCAGCATGTAATTGCTCTTTTAATTGATTCTCATTTAATCCAGTACGCGCTGATGTTACATACAAAATATCAAGATTAGGACCACCAAAAGCAACACTAGTTATGTTCTTGGCATTGTTAATCTTAACAAAACGCAACAATTCACCCGTTTTTGGATTTATATTGAGAATCTAAATATTAAAAATTCCGTTTTTCAAAAAATAAATATCAATTATTTCCTTACAATGTATTTTATAATAATTATTAATTGTAATAGAAATTGTATGTAATAATACTTACACCACCTCCACCATAAACAGCAACCCAAAGATTTCCATTTGTATCTATAGTCATACCATCTGGTAATCCAGGAATATTATTTTTCAAGAAATCAAACACAATTTTTTTATTTGCTATAAAAAAAAGAATTAAAAATGTAAATTTAACATAAAATATATTATATTGATATATTATAAATTTCTTACATATGATTCCTGTTTGAGAATTGTAATTATATGCCATGATCTGATAGCTGAGTGAATCAATATAGTAAAATATATCATTATTAGGATTCCAGGCTAATCCATTACTTATAGATACAGGAGATATTTGTTTTTTCAACTTAAAATCATTACCAATTGAATAAAGAGATCCTACATTAGGTGGAAAAATTCCATTTTTCTCATGACCCATAGTTCCTAATAAAAAAAAACTTATATTGTAAAAATGTATACTTTAAATTATATATACACACTCATATAAAATAATTCATATTTTTAACTAACCAGCCCATAATCTTCCAGAGGAATCTACTTTTCCATCATTCAATCTTGTCTCTATTCTATCACTATCTGCACTAATTAATATTTGAGCTATACAATTTTCAAGGCTTTTCTCGCTATTCCAAGAAAAAAGTACAAAATCTATACCACATCCAGCAACAAATTTATCAGTGCATCCTTCAACAGGAACAACAAATCCAACTGGTCCATTTTCTATACAAATATATATATAAAAATATATTAAAATTAATAAATTAGAAAATATTTTTAACTACTTACCAATAAACACAGAAGTAACAATACCAGATGCAGGATCAAATCTGAATACTTTTTGGGCATATATATCAACATAATATAGTTTTTGAGAAATAGAATCCCAATGAGGACCTTCACCAAGATCATATGGTCCAACGAGTGGTTCAAGAGTTATATCTGACATTTTTCTAATTTAATAATTGCATACATTTTCATTGATTTATAATCGTGATATATAATATATGCAGCGACAAATGTTTTTAGCGCACGAAATGTAAATAAAAAAAGAAATGCATATAAAAATTATTGTTCATTTATTCAAGTATTCAAAATTCATTTATTTGATTATATGATACTTACTTTATTATTATTTTCGTTATAAAACAATATGTGATTTTCACTTAATATCGAATTTAATAATTAAACTAACAATTTATCTAATTCAATTCAAAGATTTAAATGAATACTAATATAAATGATAGAACTTTTATATATAATTTAAATAGATAAAATTTTGTGCTTAATAATCGCTTTTAATAATGCATATGGATAATGATCTATTACGACATAGAGTATGATGGGGTTATCAAATTAAAGACAATTTTATTTTATCATAAAAAAATTATTTAATAGAAAACAAATTAACGAAGATTAAATATTTTTACAATTTTTGCAATATAATGATTAAAGTGTATTATTAATAACTATTTTTTATATTAATTCAAAAATTTCATTGTTTTTTAATAGTAAAATAATATTTCAGAAGAACAAATATAAAATTTTATTTATTTTTTTATTATTATCTCTTTTTTAATCATCTGTGCATAATAAATATAAAGTGCATAAAAATATTTGTTTTTAAAAATTATTATTTAAATTTTAAATGAATTTGCTACAAGGCCACGCACTCCTAAGCCTCTTACAGCAAAAACATAACCAGAATATGGTTTTTCTGTCAATTCCTTTTTAGTTAAATCACGACTAGATGTTGTGACAAATAAAGTATCTAGTAGAGGTCCCCCAAATGTGCAACTAGTTATTTTTGTAACAGGAAGCTCGATGAAACGTATTACTTTACCAGTATAAGGATTGACATTGATCACCTGTTTATTTAATATGTTAATATTTCATAAATATTATTAATGATATGTAAAAGAATTTTTTTTAAACACTTACACCACCTCCACCATATAAAGCTATCCAAAGATTTCCATTTCTATCTATAGTCATACCATCAGGTAATCCAGAAATGTTATTTTTCTGAAGGTCAAATACAATTCTTTTATTAGCTGAAATGAATTATATTATTATAAATTTAAGTCAATATGAATTTTATATTTTATATGCAATATATTTCAAATGATATTCTACATATAGTTCCATTAATAGGCTCAAAATCAAATGCTGCTATTTGAAGTGTAGGAGTATCAATATAATAAAATGTATCATCCTGAAGATTCCAAGCTAATCCATTACTATTAGTAACAGGAGATAATTCTTTTTTTGGTTTAAGATCTGAATCAATACGATATAAAGATGCTTGATTAGGAATAACAACATCATTTACTTCTGGTCCTATTGTTCCTATAGAGATATAATAGATATATATTATATGAATTGGTATTTTCATTTAATAGAGAAAGTGAAAAAGAGAAAGGTTGATCATTTTCAACTAACCACCCCAAAATCTTCCTAAAGAATCTGCTTTTCCATCATTCCATCTAGTTCCATTTCGATCATTATCAACAATAGTAAGTACTTTAGGAATAGATTTGGTAACATTTCTATGTTCATCCCATGTAACTAAAATGAAATCTGTACCACAACCAGCAACAAATTTCTGAGGTTCTCCTTCAACAGGGATAGCAAATCCAATAGGTCCATTTTCTAATCATTTATAAATAATCATTCATTAATGTTAATTTGTGAAAAAAGTATATCGACGTCTTTTTTTATAGGAATATACTAATAAATTTACCTATAAATATACAGGAAAGATCTTTTGTTATAGGATCAAATCTATATATTTTTTGTGCTTCTATATCAACAAAATAAAGTTTTTGAATATGAGAATCCCAATGAGGACCTTCACTATGCTCAAATCTGCCTATTATTGGTTCAATAACTAGATCAGAATTATGCTTGAGATTTATATCGATTTCTCTATAAATGATAAAAACATAATAATTGATAAAAAACATAAATATTTTCAATTATAAAAAAAAATAATTTTCACAAACTAACAAACTTTTTAATTATGATAAATATTTTGCAATTCAAGTATTTTTATTCATATAGTTATTAAAATTTCGTATTTTGTACAAAATAAATATTATAGTATTTCTTTTTATACTCACATCATTGAAAAAATAGAAAATAAATGAAAAATATTATTTATATTAATGTTATTTATATTGTGTAAAAAAACTTAATATATGGTGAATTATAGCAAATCCTTTCACTTACATGCCATGAACGAAGAAATTAAAATATAATCCGAGAAATAATATTATATAAATATTTTGCATTGTATATGAGATGATGTTATAATTATAAAATATGTATTAAGCAAAAATTAATAATTTAAAAAAACACTTTTTCAAGAAAACTACTACTTTAAGTTTACTTTTAGTTTAAATAAGTTACTTTGTTCTTTATATAGTATTTCTTCATTCACTGACCTCACTGATAATTGCAAAATATGTACAAATATGACAGCATTAAAATATTAGCTTGACAAAATTGATGACAAAATTGATATTATAATTGATGTTTTGATATATGATAATGAATTATATAGGAAAACAAAATTTAATTTTTATAACTTTTTATTCGCGATTTAATGTTTTTCACATAATATAAATTTCTTAGCATTATAATGGAAATTTATTATTTTATTTAAATAAAATTAATAAAGAATTGTTGTACAATTTAAAAATAATAGAAATCTATCTATATTATCTCGTATAAAATTTTTATTTATATAAAAGTATATATTTCTGCAGAAAGTATAATTTTCTTAGTAACTTACATTTTTCAAAATTATTATTATATTCGAAAATGTTTTTTTTATATTATAAGAATAATATAATATGCTTAACAAACTAGATGCGTAGAAATTCATTAATTAACATAGACTTAACATAATAATATATTTACGTGTAAATGAATTCTAGTTAGAAAGCATAAATTTTTAATGTAAAATTTATGTTAATAAATAATGATATAGATTATGTAAAATTATTTATATCAGTTATCATATATAATAATTTTTTAAAAAATAATTTTTGAAACTTTTCTAAATTTGATGATTGAAAATGATTTTTTTTTGGTAATTTATAATAAAAATTTTGTATATGTAAATTATTTTTCTATATGTAAAACATTTTGCAGATTTTGCAGAATGCTTTTATTGTAGATTTTCATATATAAATTTTCATATATATATTTAAAAAAAAATTTTCATACAAAATTTATTTTCGCATTGTAAATTTTCTAATATATATAATATTTATATTATTATATAATAAGGATTTTTTCATTTCATATCTAATTTAATATTAAATCCGATTTTTAAATAAAAAAAAAAATTTAAAAACATGCAATGAGCACGTGCAAATTTGACTATGGCGTCATCTAACATCATTTTTAAGAATCTTTCCCTCGTGCCGGCCAACATCATCAGGTCACGTGACAATAGCATATTGATACGTGTCGACAAAGGGAGCCACGACTCGCTACAGTTTGCTAATCGAGCATACGCAGCCAAGTTTTCTCGGATTCTTGTTTTAAACTAGTATCTTCGCAGCATTGTCAATTCTAAAGTGAGTAGGAAGTGTTCTAACATCGTGATCCTTAGAATAGTTATACCTCGGATTCAAAATGGGATGTAAGTATACTACTTCCAGTCAAAAATTCAAAAATATTTTATTTAAAGCTACAATCATTGCAATTAACTAAGATCGTAACTTAACTTGATTTCTTTTCTTTTAAAACATATTGTTCACTTCATTGAATTTTAAATATTTTATTTTTCATTTCATAATTTTGTTAATATGAGATCTAATTTTTTTATATATATTTTGCAGTTAAATTTTTAGAGGTAATAAAGCCGTTTTGTAGTATACTCCCGGAAATAGAAAAACCGAAACGAAAAGTAAGTTTATATCAAACTATTTCTATTTCTGTTTTATATTTATAGTATCATATATTATTTTGTTACTTTTTATAATTTTTGTTTGTGATTTTAAAAATGAATTCTTTATTATTTATTAGTCAAATTCAATTTCATTTAAATGTTTACTTAAAATTACTTAGATTTTTAGAATCTTTTTAATAATGATTTAAGAATTTAAATATTTTTATAGATACAATTTCGAGAAAAAGTATTATGGACTGCAATTACATTGTTTATTTTCTTAGTATGTTGTCAGGTAAGAATAGTTTTATAATAATTATTTTGCATTAATATTGTATGAAATTTCTTTATATAATGAAACATATTTTATTTTTATAGATTCCTTTATTTGGAATTATGTCTTCAGATAGTGCAGATCCTTTTTATTGGATTCGGGTTATACTTGCATCAAATAGAGGAACTCTTATGGAATTAGGAATTTCTCCTATTGTTACGTCTGGTTTAATCATGCAATTATTGAGTGGTACAAAAATAATTGAAGTTGGAGATACTCCAAAAGATAGAGCTCTTTTTAATGGTGCTCAAAAATGTAAGAAAAATATAATTCATTTTTTAAAATTGTTGATGTTTTTATTATTTATTTATTTATTTTATTAATTTATTATATTTACTATTTATTATTTTATTTATTTATTATATTAATTATATTTATTTTTTGTTTTTCAGTATTTGGAATGGTTATTACTGTTGGTCAAGCTATTGTATATGTAATGACTGGAATGTATGGTGATCCAACAGAAATTGGAGCTGGTGTTTGTTTATTAATTATTATCCAATTATTTGTTGCTGGATTGATTGTATTATTATTAGATGAATTACTCCAAAAAGGATATGGATTAGGAAGTGGAATTTCACTTTTTATTGCTACAAATATTTGTGAAACAATTGTATGGAAAGCATTTTCTCCAACTACTGTTAATACAGGTATGATTTTATTTTTTATCGATATTTATAGAATTAAAATAACATTCTTATTTAAATAGGGCGTGGTACAGAATTTGAAGGTGCTGTAATTGCACTATTTCATTTATTGGCTACGAGACAAGACAAAGTTCGAGCTCTTCGTGAGGCATTTTATAGACAAAATCTTCCTAATCTTATGAATTTACTTGCTACAATTCTAGTATTTGCTATTGTAATTTATTTCCAGGTATATATAATGAAATTATTTTAATTTAATATATATATATATAATAATTACAATGAAAGATATAATTATATTTCATTTATAGGGTTTCCATGTCGATTTACCAATCAAATCTGCTAGATATAGAGGACAATACAGCAGTTATCCTATTAAACTGTTTTATACGAGCAATATTCCTATAATTCTTCAATCTGCTTTGATATCTAATTTATATGTTATTTCACAAATGTTGGCTGT